CCTGCCTTCCGCGGCCGAAGGGGGCGTCTGGACAAGCAGGCCCGTCACGTCCCCTCGCCAGACACCACGCCGCGCCGCGGCGGACCTCCCCGCAGCCCGGTTAATCCGGATCGCGGCGCTTTTCCTTCCGAAGGGAGCAGGGAGGAGAAGCCGCTCGTCAGCCTGGAGTGGGCACGGCCGCCGGGCTCAAGCGGCCGCTCCAGGCTTCCGTTTCAAGGCGCCCGCCAGTTGGGTCGCCTTGGGCTGCAGCGCGCTGGGGAAACCAGTTGATCGGCGTCTCCCCGCAGGAGAGCCCAGTCTTGACAGCCCGGCGGGGAGGGCGGTCTTGACTCCCTGGAATGGGTGGGGGAGCGGGGGACGAAGGCTTGGCTTCTTTAAGCGGAGCCCTTTTGCAATAAGCGCGTCTCGACGCAGCCGGTGCATTGACTCACTTGGTCCAGGGGCTTCCAGAACGGGGGAGCCCTACATTCCAGCCTTAACTGCAGGGGGATTCCCACGGACTCCAAGGGGATTTCTTTCCGAGTAAAGCTCCCCATTCTTGGGGTTTACCCGGACCCAGCGCCCTTTTCCCCCGACCCCAGCAAGACAACGCGCCCGTGCGGGATCTCATCCGCCCGGGCTCCTCCCGTGTTCAGCCGGAGCGCTTCCCCGGGCGTAGCTGCCGAGGTCTGCAGCCCCATATATGGACGGAAGTCCCGACGGAGTCGGGCAGAGTTCCGAAAAGTCCGCTGGGTCGACGGGCCCTCCTGGCTCCTAGATTTCCTTGAAGTCCCTGCCGGTTTTGGAGGGGGCAGTGGTTTCCGCGGACTCCCGGGACCCCTTCCCTTCCCCTGCGCCGGTCTCGGGGGGAGGAGGAGGGTGGCCGCCTGGCAAAGTTGTCGCCGTCCCCTCCGCCCGTTCCGGTCGCCTTGGCCAGCTGTCCCCGCCTCCCGGCGTTCCTCCTCCCGTCCCGCGCCCTGCCCTCCTCCCCAGCCCCAAGTTTGCACGGTACGTTCCGCACGTGAGCCGGGTGCTGGGCTGGCTGGCGACGCGTGTGCCCTGCGGCCGAGCGCCTGAGCAGCGAGGGCCCTCGC